AATATAAAGGTCAGCTATTAAGCAAGTACTCATACAACCACCAGTGGTCTCTTACCTAAAAACAACCAATAGTGGAACTAAAGGTCTCACTGATTAGCATCCAGTAACACTGTGTCCACGACTAAAAGTTTTTCAAGAGCTTTCCTCTTACCTTCACATAAGGCTATGCATTTTAAGTTACGGCTTTGCAAAAATTGTGACTGCTGTCCTTTCTTCTGTGACTGAGATGTAAAAACATGAGAAAACTTAATTAGTGCAGTAAGACAAACTGAGTGAGAAACTAACAAAGGAGAGGGCTGCTATTTTCAGTGGTTTATTAATGAGCAATGATAGAGGCAGTCTTTCTAAAACATTTCTTTTGTACTTCTAAATGTAATAGAATTTCTAAAAACATTTATATTATTTGTTTGGATTATTGTAGGAGGGATTTGAACTCCTTTATCCAGAAAGAAAAATTCCTAATTATTAGAGAATTAATAATATTATTAGAAATATCAGAGTGTTATTGACAAACAAATTGATAGCAGGAAAAAAAGAAAGGTGAATTTGATCACTGATTTTTTGACTGCTACCCTGATATTTTACTGGCCTTCCCATTTCTGAGGACTTCTGCTGTTACATACCAATCTCTCTCCAAAGCCAGATTATTCTGTAGCTTCTATGTGTTAACTATGAAGACAGAAGTAAGATATCTTTCTCAAAACTTAGCCCTACAACATAAAAGCTATGAGTTTGCTTTAGATACAGCAGACTTGTAATGGTTTAATGAAAAGGGAAAACTGACTTGCTATAAATGAAATGCTCCTCATTTTCCAGCAATAACCACTCTCAATTCCTTTTGCATCATTCTTCTCCAAGTCTAGAACTCAGAAAGCAAGGGCTTGCTCAAGGTCATAATACAATCTGTATTTCATTTTCATTCTCTTCCTAAATTCTTCTGCTTGGAAAAGAAGGGCACAAGACCTGCAGTGTAGTCCATAAATTGTTACTAAAAGCAGCTGATGTTTGCAGTGTCTGAAGTTGTTGGTTTCATTCAATAAAATAAAACTGTTAGGTTTCACAAAGGGAATATCACCTCCTTTTCAGCTATCAAGTTCCCAAGCATAAAACCATAAATCTTCCAGAGATGGTTGATGTACTGTACCTGTGATGTATTACTGCCCTTACTGCCTGAAGCTGGTTCATCTTTAGCTGACACCTTCTGCTGCTTCTTGTTCATCCCTAGGAATATTAAAATCATGTAACATACCCTGGCATATAAATACCATAATAACCAAAGTTACGTATGGAGAATGAAACAGGTAGCACAGTGGGAATCACAATCCTTTGCATGGCACCCAAAAAGCTAGTTAACTTTGCCATAGAATATCTCGATTTAATCCTGCAAATTAGCAGTATATCTGCATGTATTGCAAAGACCTTAGAAAAGCCAAGTTATCACTAAGTAGGTGCAAAAGCAGATAAACATGAGCTTAAATGCCACTGAATTCAGCTCATGAATGCTCTTCAGTGGTTGCTTATACGGGTTACATGCCAGCCTGTCTTGAGTCTAACCGACCCTATTCAGGCTGAAGTAACAGTCTGATTTACTATGAGTGGGCTAGTAAAATCACAGGAGAAAGAACTTTAGATATTAATCTTTAACACTTACTTAGACTTATTAAAAGTCTAATTAATTTCTAGGAGTAGTTAATTTATTTGAAGTTTTGAAGTCTAACTTGGTTTAATTAATTTATCTACACGTAAAAGTATTAAGTTATTTGTCAGCCACATCGGATCCAATTTCCATCTCAGAAATCTAAACACCTACATTTGTGCCTTAGATCTCTTTTATATTGCTCCTGATGATTTATATAAAATTCCTGTATTGTATGCTACTACAGGCTTCCTTGCCTTTCCAGTATCCCATATTTTTTGACAGTTTGCACATGCAGACTGAATTATGGGGAAGTTTAACTCTTTGAAGTAACAGGGACTGTAGGACTCCTCCGTGTTTTTTACTGGCATCATGTATTACATACTTCATAGGAACACAGGCCTCCTTTCTGAAGGAAACTGGATGGAAGGGACCAAGAAAAGTAGAGAGATGAGAAAAAACACATTGAAGCTGACAAAGCAGTGTTGTCCGAAAAGAAGGGCATTTTTTTAGATAATAGTACTGCAACCTGCACTTTTAGTGAGCACTAAAAAGCCTCCATACTCCTGTGATCTCTGAAAAACCAAAACTGCATTTAGAGATTATTGATATTGAAACTCATAAATACTTGTAAAAAATGCTGGGCTCTTGAAATGAATTGTGATATTACCTAAAAACACTGAAAATCAGAAAGCATAACTATGACTAAAATTCTCAGAATTATCTACATCCACACAAACACACATTCAACTATCCCAGCACTTTCATATGTGAGGGAATGGTAAATACAACACACCTAAGGGAAAG